AACATTCACATAAGTGAATTCCAGGGCATGCCAAAATGAAAGATCTATAGAAAAGAATTTAAAAAAAAAAAAAAAATCAACCCACAATTCTGATTAAATTTAGGCAATACATGGTTTTCTAATGAACCGTAACAATTAACAGCAGCAATATAAACAGGGAGCACTAAAGGAACAGGGGCTGTTTAGTCTGGGGAAGACGAGGCTGAGGAGAGACCTTACTGCCCTCTTCCAATACCTGAAGGGTGCTTACAGTGAGAGCAGGACTGGTTCTCTTCTCACTGGAGACAGGTGACAGCACAAAGGGAAATGGCCTGAAGTTGCACGAGGGGAAGTTTAGGTTGGATATCAGGAAAAGCTTCTTCACAGAAAGGATTGTTAACACTGGAATAGGCTCCCCAGGGAGGTGGTTGAGTCACCATCCCTGGACATGTTTAAAAACTGTGTGGATGTGGTGTGGTGCTCAGGAATACGGTTTAGTAGAAGGTTGTTAGAGTTCGGGTAGTATGGTTAGGTTGTGGTTGGACACAATGATCTTTAAGGTCTTTTCCAATCTAAGCAATTCTATGATTTCATGATTTCACCATCAGTTTGACTGTCAGGTAGCAAGGTTATCATTAAACTAAGACACTTTCTACACTTACACAAAGACAAAAAAAAAAAAACTCCTTGCTCTCAACAATAGGTCAGAATGAGGAGCAAAAGGTTGTTATCTGGGGATATTCAATTTGAAACAGCACTAATTAGTTTTAGTTAAATGGCAGGATAGCTAATTCCCCTCATCACCACGAAGTGCCAAGTTTACTAAGAAAAGTATCATTCAAAACCACAATATACATTTATTACTGTTAACAAATTACCACTTGTTTTAATTCTTAGAATCATCCCACTGACCTAATGACTTCGTGCATAGCAATGTTGACAAATCTGAGAAGAATTTTCCCAGAGATCAGAAAATTTTTCAATGACTTCTGCTCATTATGGAAGGAATGTGCCAAGGATACCACTCATTAACAGCTTTACAGAAGACTGACAATCTGAAATAGGCACTTCAATGTGTAATCCATTTTGCCACTTTTTAAAACCCTGGAAGAATTCTAAAGGGAGCTACACTCACTCTTAGCTTCCACTCTAATTTTTCCAGCAAGGCTGCAGTCAATCAAGGGAAACTGTCTTCAAGATACCACATGACATGTGTGCACTGTCAGCTACAAATGTCTAGATGGAACTTAAAATATAATAAGCAAATACATATATATACATGGCCAAAATTAAAAACTGCCTTATCTGACTGTTGTTTAATTAAAGCCATGAACCTCCTAAGTTAAAAAGGCCAACCAACTGAATCATGCAGTCTGTAAAGATGTTAGATTGTATTATCTGTTTTACGTGAAGGGGAAAAAAAAAAAAAGATGAAAAATGTCAGTATACTATTCCAAAACATATATACAGAAATAATACTAAAACATGCTACAGTGCTCACCTACATGTGTTTGGGCTGCAAAATGAAGAACTATGTCAATTTTCTCAGTTTCAAAAAGCTGTTTGATAAAATGAGGTTCACAAATGTCTCCCTAAACAGGAAATAAAATGAGTTATTTTTTGATAAAAATAGTAAGCTTCAATTTGTACCAAGTAACACATAACAAATCATTACAAAGCAGGCACAAGGAAAAAGCTCTGCAATAAGAACAAGCCTGCAAAGCCAAAATACAAGCCTTTTATCAGAATCCTGGGATCACTCAGCTTACTCTTTAATAGTAATAATAGAAAACTATGACTCTAAAAAGTGGAATTCATAACCTGAAATTAACTAAAATCCAGACCTTTAGATACAATTAGATACTTTCTTTTAGCTCTCCACAGATACAAAACAGTTAGCAACAGAGTTTGGGGCATCATACCAATGCCATGCCTAGAAGATGATCTTCACTTTTTGAGCAATAGCCATAGATACATCATTTCAGGATTTACATTACTACTTAACACCAGAAACAACACGACCTCCAAAACATACACAGCAAAGACACGGCAAATGCTACAATCGGGATGCCTGCTTAGAGCAAATAAAGTTTGCAGACGGTGACACCCAGTGGCATTAGAGATGAAGTTCATTTCCACTGTTGTCAAAAGCAGATGGAAGTTTGCCAGCAGTTTTCTTCGGTTTTGTTCTTAGTACCGGAATCATCGAGATAATTGGAAATGAGCACAGCATGGACACGAGTGGTTTGTTAGTGTGACAAACAAACAAGGGCAGTTTTCAAATGTAAACAAGAACCGAGAAGCTTTTGATACTTATCTACTGGCTCAACTTAAACAGGAGTACCTCAAAGGAAGTAGTGTCAGGGGAGGATGAAGGCTTTTGTACTTCCAAGAACAAGGCAATTAATTGAACACAGTTCAAATGCAGCTATGTTTTCAGAAGTTCTCATGCAATTATTCCAAACAACAGCTTCAAAGAAGTAATGCATATAAGAAATTGGATTATTTTTAATGATTAGTTGTTTGTTTGTTTTTTTAATAGAAAACCGAATTCAGTGGTTTTCAGTTTTTGTTTTATTTTCCTCTTTAAAGACAGAGCATTCAGTAAGATTTCTTGAGCGTATATTTTTCTTCTAAAACACAGTTAGATGGAGGCTGTCTTGTGCCCTATACAGCATTCACACATATTGCATCATGCACTGGGAGGTATTAACATTATGAAAAACAACAAGAGTACTTCTGGTATCCTGAAACTGAGTGTATTTGCTTGGTACATATTCCCTTTCCCTCAAGAAAATTGCATCCAACAACTCCAGGATAATCCAGAATCTAACAGAATTCAAAAGGTTCATAATAATTAACAGCTACGGGGATCACCAAACAAGTGTGGAAAAGTTTGATTGCCTGAATTTAGGAGAGAAACTCAGTTTACATTTCCTGCCACTGCAAAAAGCTGTCACATATATTAATCTGACTGATATTTCAGAAAAATGAACCATATGCTTTTCTCTGATGCCCTGCAATCTCAGACAGCCTAGCTTGACAAAGGACCTAGCATCAGCACTGAGTTCCACACAACAGAAACTCAGCACACAAACTCAGCAGCCTGAGCATCCAAACAAGAAGTCTAAATCCATCCACTGACTGGAGCCTAAAATACTGAACAGTAAACTAATCTAGCTAGCAACATCCTATGAAGAAAAAGCATACCTTGAACCTAGACCATGTTCAAAAACAACTACAGAATACACAAAAGCAGAACTAAGAACATCATAGCCTGATCTTTAGCATGGATAGAATAAAGAATATGTTACATAGCATGGGAAATGACAAGCTGCTGCATTTGAAGATGGAAAATCTAAGAGTGTCAGATAAGCCTGGAGGAGTCAAATCTGAGACCAGCCTATCTGTTCCACCTATCAAAAGCAGACTTAGAAGTGAATGAATCATCCTGAAAGACAGTCTTCTATATTCTGAACCTTTATTGTAAAATGTAATATTTATTTTCAAAGACTGCTTCACATAAGAGTCAGACAATAATGTCACACAGCTTTATGTGTGAAACACAAGGTCTCAGCTGAAACACAAGGTCTTTTAATAAAGGTATACGAATGACATGATTGCTTTTATGTCTGAGTATCAGATACAGAAGCATATTCCATACACTGACTTATTCATAACAGTGAAGAAGCAATTTCAACTTTAATTTATGGTAAAGCAGTGGCCTTACCCTCAAGTTTTTGGGAGCTCTGGAAACTACGTTACTTTGCTATAAAACACCCACAAAAAAAAGGAAAAAAACAAGTTTCCTAGAAAAGAAGGCTTTATTACCTGGATAAACTTGTAGTTTTCCTTCTCAGAGACAGTTTCAAGATTTTTCAAGCTTGCACAGTAGTCAAGCTAAGGAGAAATACACAAAGTATTACCAGTAGTTTTCATGAAAATGGACAAAGATAACTCAGCTCCAACCCAATTATGAGCAAGTTTAAGAATAAAGCCAAAACTTCTCTGAAAGAAAGCTATCTCACAAGCAAATGTGATGAAGCATAAGAAACACAGAAGCCTGAAAGATATCCTAACAATTTCATAAGCGCTTGGATGTCCATCACTTCAAAACCCTTAGGATAATAATTGTTTGATACTTCTCACATGGAAACCAGTGAGAAGTCAAAAGGAAATTCAACAAATAGCATTCCAAGTACACTTGAACATAATCCTGTACATAGCAGGGAGGTTAAACTAGATGATCATCATGGTCAACCCAAGCCATTCTACGATTCTATGATACGACAGGCTGTATTAAAAAGCTTTATTAAAAGGGTCTTGCCTGGCAAGAAAGAAGACAGCCCGCTTACCTTATCCAGATTTATAATCAGATAGTTGGGATAGTTTCTGACCAGCGACACAACTACATGCGAAGCACTGCAGGATGGAAGAAGAAGACCATGTTTACAATCACATCGCTGGTTTTCAGGCAGCAAAGCAATGACAGATTACACGTTCGGTAATAAAGGGGTTCAGAGAACGAGGGAGTCGCACTCAAAAGGACAGCCCACTGAGGGATCTTAAGGTACCCCTACGTAAGATAATCCACACGAGGCCATAAGCTCCCCTGAGGAGGGACACGTACCTACGCTCAGCCTTTTAAGACTGGCGGCACACAGAAACGCGACCAGTCGCAGCCCCACCCCAGGACACGCTCTGAGCTCCCAGCACGCCGGCCCGCCCACCGCCACGTCCCACGGCTCCCCGCGACGGAGCCTCGCGCCGCCTGGCCCCACCGCAAAGCGGCGGCACTACGAGACCACCGCTCACATGAAGCCGGCGCCGCCCGTCACCAACAGCCGCTTCTCAAAGAGCCGCACATCCGCGCGCGCCGGCGACTCCGACATCGTCCGCGCTTTACGGCGGAGTACGACCTGCCCGCGCGCATGCGCAAAGAGCGCGGACACGCCCCCGGCCCCAGTCGTAGCCCGGCAGGGCCGCTAGGTCACGTGGCGGGGGGGTGATGAATCCCCGCCATGGGGTGGCGGCTGCTGTGGCTGCTGTGCGCCGGGGGCGCCGCCTGGAGCAAGACGCTGCGGGGCGGATTCGTCAGCTCCGCCGCCCGGCTGGAGCCTTGGCGGCCCGTGGCGCGCTTCCAGTTCCGCGGTAGGTGCCCGCCGGGCAGCGGAACATCTGCGAGAAAGAAACGCTACGGGGGGAGGGAAGAGTAGAGCGGGAGCCAAGAAGGGTTGGAACGTGACCCTTGGGTGCTAAAAGGGAAACGATGTATGGGGTGGGGACAGCTCGAGGGGTGATGGGGAAGCACTTAACCGGTGTCCTAGAAGATTAACGTAGAAGTGTTCTAAATAGGTCTGGGGGAGGGGAAGGGTGAAAGCGTTGCTTAAAGCTAAGGAAAGAACACCGAGCTCCAGGTGAGCGGCGTTCGGTTGTATTGCACTGTGCGAGCTGAGGTTGTCTGCTCCCTTAGAAACACTCCTGCCGTTCTGAGAATGTCTACAGGGGCTGGTGGTGGTAGTGCCGGCGAGGCCACGTGGGCTTCTATGCAACCTGCTGCTTGTTTTTCATAGCCTTTTCCCAGTGACTGCTCTGACAGCCTGAAGTCAACGTAAAGCCACCAAACTTGCTTCGCTTCAAGTAAACTTGGACTTTTGCAGCACCAGCTGATTCCTTCTCCCCGAATAATCCCATCTTTTAATTCGGAAAACTGTTCAAAACAATCCGTAGTGATATATAATGATAGAATTTATCAAGATAGCTTTGAGGACCATAGAATTATCGGTCAACATCAGTTGTCTTAAGCTAATTCTGCAATGGCCGAAACATGTGTCAGTGTCAAGGTGCAGCCTGCGGAAACACAGAATAGCACTTTTGAAGTTTGATTTTCTTGTAAATGTGGTGATGGATAGTGATAGGAGAAGGGGGTTTTAAACTGAGACTGGGAAGGTTTAGGTTAGATTTTAGGAGGAAGTTTTTCACACAGAGGGTGGTGACACACTGGAACAGGTTGCCCAAGGAGGCTGTGGATCCCCATCCCTGGAGGCATTCAAGGCCAGGCTGGATGTGGCTCTGGGCAGCCTGGTCTGGTGGTTGGTGACCCTGCACATAGCAGGGGGGTTGAAACTGGATGATCACTGTGGTCCTTTTCAACACAGGCCATTCTATGATCCAGTTATATGGTTTTATTCATTTTTCTTATAATCAAGTGTTTTAGCTGTAATCAGTCAATAACATAAAGATCCATTGACTCAAATTATTCTGGTATTTGGCCCAGGAGGTACCCTGTGGTACTCGTAATCATGCCTTGGAAATCCTGGAAAAAAAAGTGGGTGGAAGGAAGAAAAATATGGTCTGGAAGTCCATTTGAAAAAGAAGAAAGCAGTGGGAAGTAAAGAAAGTTAATGCCATTTTTTTTTAAGTGTTGTTTTCATACTGTGTTACTGAGATGTAGAGAAATAGTGAAAATGTACAAACGTTTATGGGAAGTGGCAAAAAATAAAATAAAATAAAATGAAATTGGAAGTGAGGTGAGGCTTTAGTGGTGCTACTTAATAAAGCTTTCTGCTCTGCTAGCCTTCTGTTCTTATGACTTGCATCAGGGCAGTGCAGTTCATTCTATTTTTTAAATGTCAAGGTGACCATGCTGTTCTGTGTGTCCGAATCACCGATGTAGCAGCAGCTGTAACAAAAGAAGCCAGACTTCACCTGTTTCAAGCACAGGAGTGGCAGAAGCTACAGAATCACATCCAGGATCACAGATGTACAGAAAAATTCTCTAAAGCTCAACTGACAAGTGAGTTTCTATCTTCCCATTATGAATTAAGTTGTGTGTATTTAGAACACTCAACGTATCAGTGAATTTGGACTTTGCATGGGCTTTAGTCAGGGTAGAACTTTGACCTTCTGTAATTAAAAAAGATTCCAAGGAGTGCAATTGCTTCTTTGTATCACATCAGAAGATTTTGTTTGCAAGTTATGATTCAATAGGCCGCTGGAAAATGGCAGTCCTTGACAAGCAGTGAGTTACTGCAAACTTGATGGCAAGTTCTGTTCTCATGCTCTTGTTTGCACACAGCTTAAAAATGGGGTTCAGGCTTGCGTTTACTCATCGAGTACAAAAGTTTTCTATAATTCTGCTTGGAGTGAAAGTAAAAAGTTTGTTATTTTTTTTTTTTTTAAATCTCAGGCCTTTCTGTATAAAGGTTAATGTTTGAAGAATTAGGAAGAATGCTATTACAAGATGAAACTGAAGTAGTTAGAATGAACAAATGGGTGATGTAGTCAAATGTGCAGTTTGAATTGTCACTTTTATTACTGTAGAATGAAAAAGAAAAGACTCAAACCAGTGGGGCCTTCTGCAGTTAGCATTAAACCTCTGAAATGAATGCTTGTAAGATAGGAGTGTATACACCAAGCACACAGTAAAACCTTTTTTCAGTCCTTATTTGTCAGGAGGCTCCTCTTCCCAGTTTCATGGAAAATAACGCTTTACAAGGAAAAGAAAAAGCCAAAAGGATATCGTGATAGCACAGACCTGTCACTCTGACGTACAAGAGCAAAATCAGTTGTATCCTTATTTAATTTTACTTCACATCCTACAAGTTAGCTTGCAGGCCTGATGGAAAACTGATTAAATGTGCTCTGCACAATTCCTAGTATTTATGCAGTTAAGGCTATAAATTCAACTGAGAGTACGAATGGAGAGCAGAGCTACCCCTTCTACATGCCATTTAACTTCTTTTTGTTTTAAGCAACATATGAAATCATTAATCTATCTTTACAAAGGTTGCTTTCTTTAAAGGAGTTCTTTCATTTTGAGTATTTGATTTATAAGATACACTGTTCCAAAGTGCAACACTTGCTTAGTATTAGCTATGCTGAACAAATTATCAGAACACATTTTTTTTTTCTGCTTCATGTGTTGTCTAAATTTGTATTTCTTGTCTATTGCTGCAGAGAGCTGTGTTCCAACTGTTGATCCAGGAAGTGCATGCTTTCAGATAACAGAAAATAACTTGAAACAAGTTTGTTTAAATTACATAGATCTTTCTCACAAGTTGACTTTAAGTTAGAAATTCATTCTGAATTTTGTCTACAGCAGGTTTAGAGATAATGAGTTTGCTAGGAGTTATTTATGCTGGTGTTTGTAGTTTCTCTTATAGAAAAAGGTTTGCATAAAAACCAGCTTTTGTGGAATTTTAATGAGCTTAAAATATTAAAATGAATCTATCAACAGTCCAGTAGTTATACTTTTAGTTCTTCTACAGAAATGACTTTAATCTATGGTGGAGCTGATAAGCAATGATCACTGTTACACTCATTAATTAATTCAGTAACCAGTGTAACAATGCTTACAGTTCTTGTAGTTTCACTCAAACATACAGAGCCGCATATCAAATACGCATCAAATATTTATTTTGGAGAGCTTGCCCAATTGTTAACAGTTGATTTTAGGAAAAATACTGCTGAGATCAGTAAGCAGACGAAACTTTTCAGTCCTGCATAGTTAGTTTTAATGTCATTGATTTGAAATGTGTATTTTTTTCAGGCAGTGACTCCAGCCCTTTAATGTCTGTTGAATTTGTCTGTGTCAGTTTGGGGAAGATGCTATAAAACATGCGAAGTTGCATTTTCAAAGCGTGCTCATCAATTAGCATGTGGCTGTTGCATGTTCTGTGCTCTAAATATCTTTGAAAATGGGGTAGAATCAATTTCACAATTTTTTTTTAATGAGGAAGTGTCTCTTGGCTAATATAGAAAACTGATACTGTACCAGAGAACAGAAATGTACTGAAGGTAATACTGTTTGCAGTTACTGGCTTCTGATGGAATGGATCCATTCTAGCAAACCCAAAAGCTGAGAAATGGAACGCAGCTCATATCTTCACCAGCCATTGTCTGCACCTAGTTGAAACCAAAGATGAGACTGGAAGTCTCATCTCGGGTATTGTGGTGAGCTTCAAAGTAAAGCAAAGACTGTTTTGCACTGTATGTAGTTCATAAGCTGTAAATAATGTTGTGTATTTAAATTCTATTTCCATTTAAGTATAAGTTTTTTAAAGACAAGTTAATCAAGTCTCTACTCCTTTTTTTGTTGTTTGTTTTCTTCCAAAGTGACTGTGAACCACACAGAACAAAATCTGACAGTGTCCCAGATTCCTTACCCGGAAACATGGTATGTGTTTTATGTAGACAAGTTTACCTGCGAGGAGAATTATTCTGAATCCGAGGATATTCAGTTTGAAATGGTCTTACTAAATCCAGATGCAGAAGGGAATCCATTAGATCACTTTAGCGCAGGGGAATCTGGTAAGATTTCTTTTCTTAAAATTAGATTTGTAAGTTAAGGATCTGATCTCCCAAAAAAGTCAGTACTTACTATGCTTGTGAAAATATGCTACTGGGGACAGGACAGCAAAGTCCTTTACATTTCAGGTCTGACTTTCTTAGAGAAGAGTAAACTTAAGTTCATTTTCTGATATTAGGGAAAAATCCTTCCCTTTCTCTAGTCTGACTTACCAAAACTTACCTGACTACAGATATAGTATACAAGGAAAGATTGTGTTGATATGTTTGCTTATACATTGTTGTTTTTTTTTTCCTATTGAAACTGTAAGCTTCCAATTGATTGTGAATTGAATCCCTGATTTTAATAAATTTGTTTATTTAATGCGTGGAATTCCTTAGCTAGACTTTGTAAGACTTGAATCTGTACAATATGAATTCATGCACAACATAAACTTTTTGCCAGTACAGTGTTCACCATCTAGGTCTATCCAAGTTTTGTTATTCACAGGCTGCACATTGTGAAATGTTTCAATCCTATTTTTTTTTATTTAAAAAATACAAATTTAAGACTTTAGACCTGCAGAGAAAAACTTTTGGAAATGACTCAAGGCAGCAGCAGAAGATAAGCATGCATAAAATTGTATGACACTCTGGCCAATCCAAATCAACTGAAATCTAGTGCTTAGTTTCACTGCTTTGGAAGGCCTAGTTAACATGCCACTGACTTTGCTTGTAGTGTAGGAAGAGTCCAGAAGGCTTAGTCTGTCTTGATATAGTGATGTAGCCTATATACTCAGGTCTAGCCTTATAGCAGTGATAAGAATAGTGTGCTCGTCTGTCTTAATTGGTATCCAGAGAGTGTAGAGGGAACAAAGGCAGGTTCATTGTTGAAGGGAGGAATATCTTCACGCTGAAACTTTCAGAGGAACCTGTAAGAAAGGTACTTATCAACAGTGTTTCCAGACTTACAGGTTGACTTATCACTTCTCTGTTGTGCTTCTTACTCTGCAAATGTGGTTGGTGGTTCCAATTTGGTGAATTTTGTATGTGAAGTGAATTCTAAGTTAATTCACTTATTCTCAAAAAGTAGTTATTGTGTTCTTTTGCTAAACTGAGACATAATCAGTGGCATTATGTGGCCTTTAAGTAATGTACAGACCTCTTAGGGAGACATCTCAGCTCTCTATATTTTTTTAATGACGATTTTGAAAATGAGGAAGCAGAACTCGGAAAAGCTTGCATGCCGTGTAAGGAGATCTATAATAAAGCTGTAGGAAGTAGGAAATAGGATGAGCTTTACATGCCACGTCTTCCATGGTTGCAGATGAACACCTCTTTATTCAGAATGAAAAATGGCAACACTGCCAGGAATCCTGAAGTGACATGCCTGTGTCTGTTTTTCAAAGAAGCAAGGAGGATTTCTTCTCTCTAGAACATTAGACCATCAGAGAAGAGATCCAGGTTCATTTTTTGTATTTTATTTCCTTTGAGGCGGATAACATCTGCTTAGCTACAGATGGTTTCAGTTAAGTCACTCTTTACTCTAGTCCCTAAAATTATGTCTCTGCCGTGAAGCACTCTCAAAATTAAATGGATAGGCTATAAAGAAAGTATAGGAAAGAACTTGCAACTGTAACTTTTGATTAGGGTGTTTACCTTTTGAGAGAAGGAGGCCTGGTTTCCAGTCCCTAGCAAGCAATTTTTAGCATTTTACATGGTAAGATATTTAGATAAGACTGGCAGTGGGATCTAAAGCTTCCAAGAGCAGCTGACCAGGTGAACAGCATCTGGATGATCTTGAAGTTAGGTATTAGAAATTAACATACATGTTTTATTTTCTGTGTCATAGAACGGTTTAGGTTGGAAGGGATGTTAAAGATCATCCATTTGCAACTGTCTGATGTGGGCAGAGGCATCTTCTGTTAGATCAGGTTGCTCAAAGCCCCGTCCAAGCTGGGCTTTCTAAGTATGGGGCATCCAACAGCTTCTCTGGGCAACTTGTTGCAGTGCTTTATTGCACCATGAGTGAAGAATTTTGTCCTGATGTCTAATTCAAATCCACCTTCTTTTCATTTAAAACCATTATCCTTTGTCCTCTCGCTGCATTCCCTAATAAAGAGTTATTTCCCCAACTCGAAGTGATGCGGAAGGAGGAAAACTTAAAAAGACAGCTTGAAAATCACTTCTGTTGTTTTTTGGTGGAGTGTTTTTGGTCATGGGTTTGATTGTTTTGTTGGGTTTTTTTGGTCTCACACCAATTGCCACAGTTTCTCTCTAGTGGCAAAGAGCTTTCTATCCTGAATGCTTATTATTAAAAGCCTTTCTTTTTTACCTAAAAGAGTTTTTAAAGTGCACCCAATCATCACGATGAGAAATAACATATCTATGTAATCCTTACCAACTTTGGTGGGTGGCTGAAGAATCACAGAATCCCCAAGATTGAAAAAGATCTACCAGATCGTCCAGTCCAACTGTCCACCCACCACCAATAATTACCCACTAAATCATGTCCCTCAGTACAACATCTAAATGAACATCTCCAGGGTCAGTGACTCCACCACATCCATGGGCAGCCCGTTCCAATACCTCACAACTCTTTTATGGAAGTAATATTTCCTAACATCCAACCTGAAGATAGATAAAAAGTGAAAAGAATGAGATATTTTGTCCTCAGAATGCTTTTTTGTTGTTGTTTTGTTGTTGGTGGGTTTTTTTGGTCAATCATAAATTAGGCAGAGGTATACAAGGGAGGCACAGTGGCTCTCAAGTGTTAGATTTTTAGTGAGTCTTTGTTAAAAGATGGTCTTTGTCTCCTGTTTCAGTGTATGCATTTTAGACATAGAAGTTATTTTGTAGTACTAGCAAATATTAAGAACTCATCTAGTTCTAATGATCTTCAGCTTACATACTGAAGGCTATTTCTCATCTCTGGTGGAAGCTGGTTGATAGTTTTAATTTAAGAGTTGTTTTGCTGGAAATAAAGCCTGCTTCTGCAGGCACTGCATGGTTTTGAGGAAGGCTGGAGAGGAAAAGCAGAAGTTTTCTGTGTAGAATTCCCATTTGCCCATTTTAACTTATGCTTCCTTGGCTTTTTTACTCTGTTAGCTCATATGGTGTGTTCTACTGTTTCTAGGTAGCAGGAAAGAGTCCAGGATCCAGGTCTTCAGTGCAATATCTTGCCCAACTACTGCTAGACTGAAAGTCAAACAGCTTCTGTTTAAGAGATATCAGAAACTTTGCACATTTTTTGTTGAAAAAAAAAAAAACCCAAAACCACTAATTTTCTGTTCATTTTTTTTCTTTCCACTTCATCTGAAAGTTTTCTGTATTTGTCACCTCTAGTTCTTGAAATGTTTTATGTGGAAGAATAGTGACACCCAGTGGTTAGCAGTGTCCTGGGTTTTTCTCTTTTCATGCTGTGCCTTTAAAATTTGTAGCAAAAAAAAAAAACAAACCACCTAAAAATGAGTCATTTAATAAGTATATTTCTGATGAATGGGCTGCAATTATTTTCTTTTTGTCAGGAAGTTGGGTGCCACTTTATACTACATGAGTAATTACTACAAAGCTTTTCATTTTGAACAGAATTTCTCCTAAGTTCAGAGAAGGTATTACTGGGTAAAAAACACTTCCTAATCAGCTTTTTGAAGAATTCATTGACTCCTGGATAAAATAGGCTGGGGTTTGCACATTTTATCTTTACTATTATTTTCGGATGACAATTACTTAGTATTATCCGGTGATTATATAAATAACATATGGAGATTTTAGCTTACTGCTAACAATAGTATTTCTGTATAAAAACTGAGCTGTATTTCTTTTTTTTTTTTTTTTCCCACAGGATTACATGAATTCTATTTCCTGCTTGTCCTAGCATACTTTGTAACTGCTTGCATATATGCACAGTCTTTATGGCAGACAATTAAGAAGCACGGACCAATGCATACTGTATTAAAAATGCTCTCAATTGCATTACTATTGCAGGCTGGTTCAGCTTTTGCCAACTACTTGCATTTCTCAAGGTATCTTTACTTTTGCTTTTAATCTTAAGACTTGAAGGATGTGCTGTTTTAAAGATTAGTACATGATCTTTCCTGTGCTGATTCTTACAAAACTTAGGTCTCACTTTTTAGAAGCTGCCCAAGTATAGTTATAGAGAAAGCACAAACTTAAGTATCACTTACATTAAAATATCATCTTTTACTCTGTTATCAGTTATTCCAAGGATGGAATAGGAGCACCTTTTATGGGAAGTCTGGCAGAATGTGAGTATGGTCATCTGCTGTTTTTTATGTATTCCTACACATTAATCTATATAATGCATTAATGAATGTTCTTGTTAGACAGAATCATTATCCTGTCCCATATCATTGTATTTCTAACATGAAATATTGAGCAACTTTTAAGATGTTCTTCTGAAAAGTAAGTTTTGTTTCGCAAGTTTAGAGTAACTGCACTTAAAGCCTTATAACTGTGATCCGTCCTACAAATATTTACCTACGTATCTATCATATGAGTAAATCTTTCAATATGTTGAAGAGTTTTGCTGAGTTTGCATAATACACTGAAGCTTTTGAGGAAACTATCTCAATTTGTGGAGTGTGTTATTTCGTTAGCAAATTTAACATTGATTATAACAAACACACGTTTTATAGCACGAGTGATAAGGTTAGAAAGGTGTAAAAAGTAATTATGCAAAGAATTGATGGTAACAAAGCATTTTTTGTTGCTCTGTATAGATTTCCTGAGTTCTCATGTGAACTGAATTCTAGTAACAACGCTACCCAAATTGCAGTAGTTTATTCTTGCAAGATGGTTTGGAATCTAAGGTTGCTTTTCTTTATTTATTATTTCTCCTCTGTGTATTTTACATTTGAAGCATTTAGTGATTCTTTCTGAGCTAATATGTTGCCCTTTGATTCGTCCGGAGCATGCCAAGAAAGCAGCACTATGATAGGGAGATGGCATAGGCGAGCAACAACCTATATAGAAAAACATTTCCTGGCTTAGAATTCTTTTAGAAACTTGCAGTTGGAAATAACAGCCTCTTGATGGCACTTGGCTCCACAGTAATTGACACTCTTGTTTCAAGAAGTCGGGTTAGAGCTCTTTGCAGCCTTTCTAGCAACTGGGTTTTTTAATTTTCCCTCTCGTCTCCTGAAATGAAATTAAGTTGAGACTGTGGAAGTAGCCATTACTCCTCTTCACTGAGAAATCCAGTGTTAACTATGCAACCAGAACTGTGGAGAAAATAGCTGCATCTGAGAGTTTCTGTGTATGCGTGTATGGATTGAAGTGGAAATCACACTTCTGTTTGCTTACAGTGGAGTTTACTAAGAATGAAATAGTGTCTTTGAGTGAATACCTGAATTCAGGTGGCTCAGCTGAAAGACTTTCACTTTCATACTGTTTTTAAAATTTGTGGTTCCCAAAACAGTAAGGAAGCAGAAGGAAAAGTGGAAAGCTTCAGTGCTGATTACAATTCTGAAGGATAGCCAATAGTAAGTATAATTTGGAAATGGAAGATGCTACCATATTTTTTTCCTGTGTTAGAACAGAAATCCTGGATGAATGATCCCATTTTCATTAATTTTGCTGGGAGCAGAATTCCTTCTAGAAACCTGTTCAGGTGCTATGCCAAGCAATTGTTCGTTTCCCAGCGTTATTTAATCCTTACTATGTATAAAAACCTGACACTGTCTAACTCATCTGAATGAATCATATAATCATATAAATCACATGAATAATTCTGGCACGTAAAAGCATCTCAAATAGCAATCTTTTAACTTCTGATAAGATCAGAATGTGAAAAATCAAATAGTATTGTTATAGCTGTTGATCAGCTGAAAAAGTTGTTCAGGCCAACTCCTGTTCTTAGCCCTGCTGTCAGAGTGGTTCCAAAAAATGTTTATCGATGTGGTGATAGGTGCTTTGTAAGTGTGTATGCATATAAATTAGCTATCAGTTCAGTAGCTTGTGACTTCACACTGATCCCAGATATCATGAGATCATCATTTTCCAACTTTTCTTAAATATAAAGCCTCTTCTTACTTGTAGGTAAGATGTATGTGGCACCAATGACCAAAGCCTGTGCTGATTTTTGTCTGAAACTGTTTTACCTGAGAATCTGCTTGCATTATTGCTACACTGAAGAGCAGAGGAATGTCTGTATCCAAGATGTGGTTGAGAGATGCTGTCTGGCTATAACTTACAGGGAAGGTTATCTTAAGGACTGAGAGAAAATAAAATGATTGAATGCTCTCCAGAGCATCCAGATTTATTCAGACACTTGTCTAGCCTGGATTTGTAACATGGATTTGGCATGCCTTGAGCTCACATAACAATTTTTCTAAGGTATACCATGCCTAGCTAGCATTGTGAAATAATCCCAGGCTCATTTTGCCCCAAAATACCAGTTTGTTTTTTCAAGTTTGTGTCTACTAAAAGCTCTGTGACATTTGCTAAATAAAAAAGGTGTCTGAAGGTGTTACAAGTATGCAAGTGTATAAAGCACAAGGATACCAAATAAATCCTAATAGTAATATGTTAACATGTTGAAATTTTTTATAGCTATATTTTGCTAGTATTGCTGAGTGTCAAGGAAATACAGCAGCTGATCTTCATTTGACGCACATCCCTTGTGTGTGTGTTAATCTATGTACAGAGGCAGCATTTTCTATTGTGTGTGGAAGTACTTTTTTTTTTTTATAATGCATTCCAGCAGTTGCATAAAATTGAAAGTTTTCCTCTATGCTGTAGAAACATTTATCTTATATCTGATAACAGAAGTGGAAATGTCAAGTATGGAACTAATTTAAATGAGCTAAAATATTAAGTGAATAAAAAGGATTATTGTACATAGTGGCCACCTCTAATTTCTGAAACAAATCTGAAATTTACACAAGAACTAATTTCTCAAGTTGCTTGTAGATCTCTGCTACGCGGCTACTTTGAGCCAGTTTACACTGAAGTCTATACACCAGCTTTAAAATTGTTCAGTAGGTTTCAGTCAGAAATTTACCAGCTCGGTGATGCTTGAGGGTAGCTTCAAACTCAAGATTTTCTATGATTCTGTGAGAGCTCTGAAGCTTAAAAATTACCTGGGAATAAGCTTTCAGTTCTTTCTAATATAAGCAGGACTTCAGTGAGGATGGAAAACAAATGGTTTAGTATATTCTAGCTTGAAATTTTCCTTACTCAGATGCAGCTTCAAACACAGGTTAGAGACACTGATTAAGAATGTAGCTTTATGAAGTATGTTTTAGTTGTTTCCAGACTGGGGAAAAAAGAAGTGTGCACGGTGAAATGAGGTAAGGGGAGTCTGCATGTAATAAAGTATAGACAGATTACTGCTCCAAACTAAGTTAGTGCTAGGGTTAGTCATTATATTTACCCCTTTAAGTATCTGACTGTGGAATTTGTCCCAAATATTTGTGTTTTCTGTTACAAGCTACGCCTTCCTTAAGACAAAATGCAATTAATTTAGAAGTACAGTGCCACTGTTTGATTTTTGAACAAAAGTTTTGTGGAACAAAGGAAGGAGTTCGTTTCATTGTGTTTCATATTTGCTGTGTGATTAACATACATATGATTTTAGTCCACTGGCCTTTATAAGTTTGTTTATGCAGGTGGATTCCTGAGCCTAGACTTCTTTGACACAAGAGTAGAAGTTGGAAGAATGTGGCACTGTGCCCACATCATTGCAGAGCTACAGCATAAGTAGAGGGAAGCTGGTCGTGGTTTTTTTGGTCATTTAAAAATGATCAAAATAGCCACATTATGTGGCAAACAAACTTCAGCTCATCAAACTGTTAATAGAGATTATAAGCAAAGGTGATTCTGAGGCATAAATATCCATCCTTTGTTTGTGGGGGTAGTGAATATTTCTCTTTGTTTTGAATTTTTGTGTATTTTTGTTGTGACTATATTCTTTTTTCTTTTGTTTTTAATAGTGTGTGACATAGTCTCTCAGATACAAATGCTTTATTTGCTGTTGAGTCTATGTATGGGTTGGACAATAGGCAGAATGAAGAAATCTCATAGCAGACCTCTTCAATGGGATTCCACTCCAACATCTACTGGCATTGCTGTAGTAGTTGTTGTTACACAGGTTTGTATTTTACATTCGTTCTTATACTGAAACGTACAGTTGCTATTAAGTATGACAGAACTATGAACCAACTAATTTCAATATTTTATGAGAAACAAGAGTATCAAGACTGGAGAAGAAAAAAAAAAAACCCACAGCACAATGTGCACCCAGCAAGTCTAATAAGTAACAACAGTTCCTCTTTATTTTGACAGTTTAAGGTATAGCTCCACAGTATGTTCTTGTTCAGCACTAAAACCATTTAAGAAGTTCCCACAGTTCTCCGAACTCCCAGTTGTATCAGTTGTTCATAATATTATGCTGCAAACCAGATCAGTGGAATGTTCTAGACTGAATTGGAAGGAAAAAAAAAAAAAAGTTTTGGCATGGTTTTACCAATCTGATTTGCAATGTGGTCCTGTAAATAGCTGTCATCAGTACAGTTGCATGGTTGTGAACTGTGACATTAGTGCTGACAACGAGGGGCATGGGAGGAAAGATGAGAGAAAGATTCTTACAGTTCTTTTTCTGTCACCAAAAATATGAGACTGTGTCCTCATCTTCAAACCACTCCAATAGGATGTCTGATGGTCTTTTCAATCAGTATAAGGCAATTCTTTAAAGAAGGTTCATATGCAGGATTGTTCTTGCAAATATACAAATGATGTGACACATAACTTCATTCAAATGTTTTTCTATTAATATAAATTAGAAAGTCAAGTAAACCAGTAACTTAAAAGTAAATTGTAATGGAGATCATCTAACCCTGGTGGTGTCTTTTGTAAACAAATTTTTTTAAATCACAGCATAAAGACAAGAGAATCTGAAAGCCATTGAGAATGAGAAGATCAGGGAGAAACTGGAGACAGTAATGAGGAAGAGATCATACTAAAGATTTTATGCCATTTGAGTAATGTCTGTAATTAGTGCTGCTTCCAAACTAAATAAGTGGACTGCTAAAACATTAAGAGTAGCTGGGAGCTTACAGTATTCTTGCTAATTAAGAATGTAAGCCAAAGCCTATTAAGGTCAATGGGACTGTTGAAATTTAAAGATGGGTGTCAAAGTAAGGTGGAATGAACCTATCTAGCACCAGAAGTTTTACATACTGATAGTAAAGACTTCTAAAGTGTTTAATTCTATTCATGCCTCTCCTCTGGTACATACAAATGGACGTGTTAATACTCTGTCACTTGAGACTGGAAAGTTTGTTGTTGTTTTTCCCTTTTTACTATACATAGAAAGGGCACCTGGTATCATCAACTTGATCTTTTTTTAGTTGTTGCTTATGGTAAAAATTGGGGCAAGCATGATACAGACACGCTGCCCCAGTACTGGTCCATTATATATATACTATTGGCTATTTGAGTACCAGCAGAGGATTGATATAAAGTTGGCTGTCTTCTCCCTGTGAGAGCATATCTCTGCCACATCTCCCTTTTCGGTACTGTTGGAAATGTCAGGTTTGCTAGGAGTCCTGTAAGAACAGAATACAGATATCACTGTATGTCATTGCCTCTGTGGTTCTCCAGTCTGTTTCAGTGTCTGCTGTCTCCAGCAAAAGCTCTTTGACACCAAGAGTATCCTTAGCCTTTCTGGAGAGAGCTGTTTTCCATCACGTGTTCAGTACATACAATTTTTTTTGTGACAGATTTCTTCTCCTTATAGAAGAATGCAACTGTTGAGCTCAGGGGAGCAGAACTTAGATGTCAACTCCATCTGTGACCTCAGGATCTCATTCCCTCGATTAATCTGTTTATTGGTCTAGATTGATGTGGGTATTGGATCTGTAACTGGGCAATCAGTGATGGTGATCAGTGATCACTTCTATTAACATAGCGTAATCTCCTTTCGGTCCTGCTCTTCCACAGAAATTCTTATAGGAGAGCTAGCCTCTTTCCATCCAGAAAGTGGATAGACATACGTGTATAAGCAGAGATTTCTCAGGATTACTATGGAGGATACTGGATACCACATGCATTACCTTAACACAGCAGATAGAGTTTGAACCATGTTTTATTGACATTCTGCTGTTGTTCTAATTCATATTCCTCGAAGTTTTCAGGTTGTTTTTTTTTTGAGGTGGGTTTGTTGATTGGTTTGTTTTCCTTGTTGTTTTCTCTCCTCTTTCCACTGATGCTATTGATTCTTTGCTTTTATTCTTTCAAAAACACCAACAACTTCCCAAGCTGTGTTTACAGATTGCCGTCAATGTAGAGTGGCCATTGCCTCCTTGCCAGCAAAATCTCATGTGATCTTTGTGGCTGCAAACAGATAGCATCTCAAACAAGGGACAAGCTTACCGTTCATCATCTCCCTTTCTCCTAATTTGTTCTTTTTTTTTTTTCTTTCACTTTCAGCACAAAAGATTCTCAGACCGCTCTGCATTCATTAACTATTCCACACTTTGCTGCTAAGACACAAACCTTGTTCATAACATTTTGCTGATAACAAGCCTTTCCCATCACATAGACCCAAGCAGTTTCAACTTTCAGGGCTGACCAGAGCAGAGGTAGCGATTACAGAAGGAAAGCTTATCATTTTGACCAAAATGCATATAGAATCTTGCTGTATTAAAAGTCATGCTTCACAGAGGTCTTAGATACAGTCCAAAGGTGCACTCAGGGTGAGCTATGCTTCTTACCTCAGATCTGAAACATTTGTTACTGTACCTGAGTTCATGACATTGCATACTCAAGTACTAGATACTAGCCTTGTCTTCCTGCCACCTAATTTCCCTTTTGCTTCCCCTTTACCTTTATGTCTCAGCAATTATCTACTCCATGCAAACTGGCTTTTACCATTGATTGATATGTTATCTTGCTCTAAAGTCATTGCTGGCATAGCAAGGGGCATAAAGCGTTCCACCATAATTGTTTCCGTATGACAGAAGAGGTGACTGTTTGGTTCTTCATCATATGGATGTGGAGATCCAACTTGTATAACAGGAACATCAAGATAACGTCCTTGGTGAGCTTCTTTTAGCTGTTAGAGGGAGAACAGTACTGGACAGCAGTTGGTGTCCTATGTCTGGTATGTTACGTAAAGGGGAAAGACCATCTCCTTGTTGTGATTTTAATGTTGGACATAAAGCTGTGCACTTATACAGCTTGTCCAGTTCTTCCATAAGCAGCCTGAGCAGAGTTGTTCTTATGGATAACAATTAGGATATTAACCCTGACTTCTTCTCAAAGGTGAAATGATTCTGCTCAATGATCACAACAACAAAATCTGATCTCGTTTTGAACGTGTAGGTGCCTGTGTATTTTTTTCATCTCATTCCCAATACTGCAGCAGAGGCAGCAGATGTGTGCCTTTCTGTGGTCAAGTTGAAGGGCATCAGAGCTTACTAACATTATTCTCAGGCATGGCCATGGAGATTTTGACTTCAAAATCAAGTTGGTCTGTGAAATCTCTCCTTTCACTGAGAGCACACTGCCTAATCCACTCTAGCTTACAAACACTCCGTAGCACAGATTTCTACTTTATAGAATGCTGCTTTTCTCCAGGGAGCAAGAATAGATCCTGCTCATAGTAAGAGCAATGACAAATATTTTTATTTCTCCAGGTTTCCTATGTGTTGCGCTGACAGTTCCATGTCTGTCTGTAATGCTTCTGCTTTCTAATTATTTTGGAATAGCCTAGTGAAACTTAAAGGAGCTGAACTTCTGTGATCTTACACTGCTGTCACTGCATACAGTCTTTGTTCAACTGTGTTGTCTGCACAGCTTACATTCTTTAGAGGGCTAGTCCTGAGCGTACCATGTTGTCAGGTGCTATTTTCCTATGAGGATTTGGACTTTGTTCTCATGATTGCTTTGCTCCAGCTCTTTGTCATCTTCTCATGAAAGTGGCTTCCTTCGTTGATGTTACTTTTGGTGGTAGGTTAAGGATGATTCAAACCCTCCTGAGCTCTGTTCTTCAAAGCTGAGATAGCTGTGGCATCTACCTAAAACTCTTAATTGGATTGGTATCGTGCTTCATGTTCATGTCAGGGAGATTCTATATATATAATTTTTCTGAAATTTCTTCCAGTCCAAGGATATTAAAAATTGAGTTCCCATGCGTCAACGTCAACAAATGAAATACTTTGCGCAAGACTGCTGTCATTCTATAACTAGTAGAATCCTTGATGTTTTCTGGGTGTATTCTACCTCATCTGAAATTCTATTTCTGTGTTGGGAATTCATCCATTTCATACCAAAACTACTGCTTTAGCCACAACTTTACCAAACACTGCTGTTTCTCAGGATTTTAAGAGCCACTTGGTCTTATTTCAGGCTTCCTCCTTGAGAGGATTCTCTGTCAAGTAATTTGATCATCTTGAGTTATTTGCTTGGAGTTGCCCAGAAAAGGTGTTTCAGCAGCAGTGTTTGAAGAACATTGGTCAGATTATTTACTAGTAGTAATCAGTGATATTCAAGATGTGCTTTATACTTCTTAGTCTCTCATATTTCCATTTTCTATTCAGGTGGCTGAGAAGTAATTAAAATGACAGCAGTCATGTTCACTGTGTCATAGTCAGAGTAAGGGAAGGAAAAAGTGAAAGAGTACTCTCAGAGCATATTCTTAGCCAAAAACATTCTAGTCTCAACTGACAAGACTTGAGGACACCCACCTCTGGAATGCACAGGTGTATTGCACATTAAAAAAAAAAAAAAGTTTATATCAGTAATCTTTCTGTCTTTATAATATGGATGTAGTTAGAGAGCCTTTGAATTTTTCAGAAAGGAATCTGACTAATGTGGATTTCTAAATTGAAGCATACAGTGTCTCTTTCTGACAGCCTTTAGAGCTACCTTGCTCATATAAATCAAATTTGACTACCTTTTTTCAGAAAGCCTGCTTTATTAGACACCTGAAACCCAAGTGCAAGTTGTATGTCTGTAGTAGGTGGACTGGATTCCAGTGTATATTCAATTCTTAAAATGCCACTCAGCTGCTACGTGCTGCTGGGAGCCTAAATTTTACAGGTATTCTAATTTGTAATGTTAACAATCCCAAACTCTTGAAAAGGTTTTATTCAGCAAGACCCAACTTTCGTGCAACTCTGCAAGTAGGCACCTGCCTTCTATTCAGCTGAGACTCAGAAAGTAGGCTTTTCTTAATCTGTTTTTCCTTAGAGAATCTATCAGTATTCTTTCTCACAGTGCTCTTCTAACATTGGATTCTACAGCTACTGGATACAGTACTGTTTTTCTGAGAGTTAAGGTGGATTACTGTCTTGCATCTGTTGGCCGGAGTGTTTGTCCAGGTGTTGCAACAGCACTTGGAACCTGTGACACTGCCTTTCACAGTCCCTAAGAGGGTTCCAAGCCAGTTGCTTGCAGAGTCAGGCTTGCTCACGGTTTCTGACCTAGCTGATGTTGAATTCTTTTCTCCACGATGGCACAGCTTCAATAGAAGGGGTGGAGAGTGGCCCACCCAAGAACAGCCTATAGCCTGGCAGTTAGGGCACTCTCCAAGGAGGTGGGAGATGTGAGTTGGATTTCCTTTAGGCAAAGAAGGGAATTGTGGGAGATCCGAGTTCAACTTGGGTGAATGCTTCATCCTTCAGGCTATTGTATAAAAGGGGCAGCAGCACCACCCTCTTACTTCCCCATCTTTAAAAAGAAAAGCGAATCCTGTTAGGATTTTGAAAGAAAAGGCGTAGTCGCCTGCCTTTGAAACAAGCTTTACAGGTTGTGAATCCCAACTGGAAGCGGACACCTCCCTGTATCGTTTCAGTGGGCTTCCTGCTGACTAGGCTGACTGTTTAACTACATTAGTATATTGGATTTTGGGCTAAAATGCTACATTCCTTCTACCTAAGTTAGAGAAAACTGTAACTTGTCAAACTTTCTACAAGTTATGGAATGCAAGAGATGAGATCCTGTTCCTGCCAGTCAAATTTGGAGTACTGCACAGTCCTAGAAAAGTAGTTCTGGCCAGGATTATTTGTTATGTAACATGGGAGTCTCCAGCAAGCAGGGAAGAGCATGACCAGCTGTGCTGATAATTTGATCTGTGATAGAAAGGCAATTGAAGTTTCATGTGAGATTGTTGCTTTCTGAATGTATGTTACTGTTGTTCTTTTTCCAGACCTTTTTATTAATTTGGGAACAGTTTGAAGATACTAATCATCACAGCTACCATTCACACCATGGCTTAGCAAGCGGACTGCTTATTGGCCTCAGAGTTTGCCTAGGTTTGTCACTGGCTGCTGGTCTTTATCAGATCATCACAGTGGAGAGAAGCACGCTGAAAAGGGAGTTCTATATCACCTTTGCTAAAGTACGGGCTCATGGAAACTGATTCCTTTTGCTGTAAATGTAATTGTGGCACGCAGTTGACTAAAACACTGAACTGTTTTCCTCCATAAGAAAGTTAATATTTAAGTGTCTGATTTGATTAAATTGCACCCTGTCATCGTACTCCGAGCAGTCATTTTAATTTGACAAGGAGCAAAGAGCTTTTCTAAACAGAAATCCCACCTTTCATTGTGTGGTTTTCATTCTGTTGATTGAAAATTAAACAATGGATTCATAAAAAAGACAGAAATGTAAATGCAGTTCCTTTAACTGTCATCTCTTTCTTCTTAGCTGGCGTATAGTTATTTTATAACTTACGCTCTTCTTTTCTTTCAGGCCTGCATTCTCTGGTTTTTGTGCCACCCATGTCTTGCAACCGTTTCTGTAATATTCAGAGAATATCAAAGGGAAAAGGTATGTACAGGCAAGATAAAAGAGATGGAATTTGAATAGTAGTTGTTCTTCATGTTCAGTGTTTGTTAGCAAACTCATGCTCTTAGGCTGTTAATCTTATGACCCCAAAGGAACTTGAAAAGTCTTAGTCACACAGCTCTTATTGATGCTAATGTGAGTCATATTTTACAAAGGCATACTGGGTTTGAATCATCTAAGAGTAATCGTTTCTAGGTGAAGGGGGGTGGGGAGATGGTTAAGTCAAAGGAAAATGTGGAGGGGGTGTTTCGTTTTATTGTTTGCTTGTTTGTTTTTTAATTAAAAGCACCTTGGGGTTCTTTTAACAAAGCTAGAAGAAAGATAAATCAGTGGATTTTTTTGTTGTTTGCTTTTCAGTCTTCGTCACTTAAAAGCTTTATGTGGCTAAATAGGTCAAGGAACTTGTAGCTGAACTGTAGATTAAGAGATCTATCCAAATGCCTAGTTTGGTTTGTGAGCTCTAAACATTTAAAAACAAAGGTAGACTTACTGGATTTCTTGATTGCTTAATTATATTGGGAACTAGAGAACTGGTGTGTGAAGCCTGCCGTGTTCAGATAAAGTGCATTTCTATTCTCAGGTGATTGGCTACCTCAGTCCGGGGTAGTTTGCTTCTTTACTTTATAGTTACAAACACCTTTGCATTTATATGCCAGTATTTTCAGAAAACAAGCTTATATTTGTGTGGAGAATGTAGAAAGAGGGATAAACATTTACTCAAAATATATAATATTTATGAAATATTGATATAATGAAACACCATGTTTGGTTTTGTTTTTTAAAAAAAAAGAGAAATTCAGGGGGAAATAAGAAGAAACCTCCTCTAGATCAACAAAAAAAATCTGTTGGTAGTGCTTGATGAATACATCAATGCAGTAGGGTGAACAGTGAGTGACAAGAGGTGGAATGAGTTAATAAAATTTTGCAGTATTTTGAGAGTTTGAGTTTACTGAAGAGAGATTGTAGTTGCTGTCCTCTTGGATTTTGAGAAAGTTTAGTCATCATGTGCAGCTGGAGTTCCTACGTTACAATGATGTGTTTTCTCCTTTAAATGCATTTAGATAGAATAGAAATGTATGATCAATAAATATAATATTTGTGCAAGAAAAACATTTGTTTTAACAGACTCTCTGTACCAAAACTTAGACTTCTGCTTTCTCAGAAGCAGTAGATACCCTGATGGTTTTGATTAAATACTGCCCTATGTGTCTCTTACAGATTAAGAGACTTGCACTGAGGTCTAAGTGAGACTGTTAAATCACTTCCATCACAGCTCAGTGACTGTGCTAGTTCAGAGTATTTTCAGGTTGTTGTTTTTTTTTTTTTTTCTCCCTCCGTTCGTTGTAAGAAAAGAATATCTAAGCATCACCTCTGCTTGTGGAACTGCATGGGTGGTGAATTGCAAGTCTGAAATTCCCCGGAACAGAGACCGCCAGAAGGCGTTATGTGACTTGCCTTAGGGCCATCTGCTGATTTGAAAACATCCAGGTGTGAGAGCGTGAATCTTGGACTTGAGCTTCACGTTCAAATCTTCTGTAACTGCAGCAATATTGAAAGATTTAAAGTTAAGCTTCAAGCACACACATATTGTGCTGGTAGAGATTTATTTGGGCTTGTTTTTCACTTTTTCTCTTTCTCCTTTTTTTTGTCTTCAGATTATTACCATAGGTGTTATCCTCTGTCAGTGCATCTCCATGGTTATCCTCTACAGACTTTTTCTCTCTCATAGTCTATACTGGGAAGTATCTTCACTGTCATCAGTGACATTGCCACTGACAGTATCCTCTGGACATAAAAATCGACATCGCTTCTGAGATGTTTAGGAAGAATATGTTATGTAAAAAAAAAAAGTGCAATAATGATCTAAATATGCAGGTATTTTTGTCACAGGTATGTGATACATTGGTTTCACTGGAAAACTGGGTGATAGTATCAGAGCATTTCATGGAACTTTGGTCTGACACGCTCCGTAGGTTAATTTGTTACAGTATTGTTAAGTGGAAAAATCTGTAATTTGAGTGATTTCCTAAAGATGATGTGTGTGCAGCACGGGTGCTGAGCCATATCACAGGAAAGTGTAAGGAATCTTTCCTCTCTCATTTACAGCCACAAAAAATGTCCTTACTTTATTTCGATACTAGGTTTGAAAGTCTTATAAAATACGGTTCTTAAAATGTCTACAAGCTCAAACAAGTCTGATATAGGCCAGTTGTGAAATTGATGTGATAGCTTATGATGAATACAAGTTTTTTGGTTTTGTTTTTTTTTTCATGTTTTAGGAAAAAGATGCATTTTATGTATAAGTATAAAGGAAATGGAAACAAAAGAGGGAAAGTCCACTAAAAACGTATATAAAATGTTTACAGCCATCTACAGGAAACTTTCCTTTATCGTTGGTGTGAAATAAAAGCTTTTTTTTGCAGTTACTGTTCATATTGGTTAGAACTGTGATGAGGATGGGAACAGAGTTTGTGTTTTCCTCTTTTGAAGTAAATGCGACTGAAAATTTCACCTAGTAGTGAAGATCTAAACAATATTTGAGGCTTAAGAAGATACAGCATCATAAAGGTAATTAAAACAGCAGGCTCACATTAAAAAAAAAAAAAAAAAAAAAAAAGCCAAGAGAAAGAAATGGGTGATGTGGCACTAGAATTTTAATCCTGATATAATTCATTTCTCTTACATTGAGGATTCAATCATAATTAAGCCATATACACAGATTAAATTAACAGAAGCATTTCATATAAATGTTGGTTTCAGTCATCAACTACCCATGAATTCCTGCCCAAGGATACTTAATCAGGATTAAATTTTCTATGAATAATTGAAAAACAAAATACTCACTGGATTTGTTATAATCCATGTTGGCACTGAGTTCTAAGTAGTTGCCATCTTCCATCCATTGTAATAAAGCCATACTACTTTGTGATGCCCTCGCATTCAGAAAAACAGTGTAAATATATACTTTATTGAAGTGCCTATTTATTGAGAATGATTAGATCATGCTGACATTTTCCTTCATAACAAGAACATACCTATTACCGTTGTGACTGCAGTCTCTCTTGGATTTTCTTTAATTATTTGTCGTAGTTTAGCCTTCTTCCCATGAACGTGTGTCTCTTCACAATACTGATTTTATTTTCAGGTAAATTAGCGTTCGTTTCTTCTTAATGGTATGCATCTAATTATGCCTCTATGAAAACGTGAAGACACCAGTGTTCTAGCTTCAAAACAGCCCTAACTTTTCATTCATGTTTGCCTCAGATGTGAGCATAGTTGAAACATAAGTCTATTCCATTTCAGTTTAGAGGTGAAAGTAGACATTTGCCTTTGACTAAGGCGAAATGGCAACATGACAAAGTTGCTCATTAAATCATCTCCTTTCTTATTGTTTGTAATTCAGATCAAGAATGGCAGGTTGAGGCTGGAAAAGATGAGATATTATGATTTCACACAATCTTCAGAATGATTAAAAGATTAATTATTACATTCCTCTGATAACCACACAAAAATATTATTGGTTAAAACTTCAGTCTTTATTTCCCTGCTTATCTCTGTACTTTTCATCTTCTCAAGAAAAAAGCATCCTGTTTTTGATAAGTCTCCAATAATGCAGCAGAAGAGTTCTATCTGTCCTCATGTATAAGACATGAAATTCACACATAAAATAGAGTTTTCTAATAGACACAAGAGCTCCTTTATAGTTTATGATCTGTCACGATTAAAGTTTTAACCTATGCAGAAAAACTGCATGTGACTTTCAGAATAGACACTCTGTTTTATTCTTCAAGTGTATTTTCTTGCTTCCTGTAGTAGCTCTGACTTCAACCTGTTCGTATTAAAGTAAATGGTATCTTAATTTTACCTTCTAAATATACCCTGCAACAATTCATAAAAGACATTCAGAATTCATTGTTCATCTGGGTATAAATGCATAGTATAAGATGTTGTCTCTTAATCTTTTCCAGATTGCCCCATAAATCAACAGGTAGCATTATTCTTTTAGTCTGGCATCAAATCCAGTGATTTGAAAATAAAATTTCAATTTTACTATTAATGAAACTGCAGCAGATCAGTATCGCTTTCTCATGGTAAGCTGCACCACGGACATGCATTTCTATTTCTATTAGCATTCTTTCTTAACCATCATCCACAAACATCAAGGTATTAAGTCATTAACAGGTGCTGTAGCATTAGGTCAGTGTCACTGTGATAATATTAAGATGTCTGTTAATTTGGTGTATGATATCCATGGGGGCAGGGGGCCTGAAATCTTCAAATATGAGCTACTTACAAAGCTTCATACTTACCTGTACTCAAGCTTGAAGCTTACTGCCTGTGGATCATGCCTGGGAATTGCTTGAATATGTGAAAGCCTGTCTCTTGTTCCTAACAGTTGGTCCCATGAAAGACATAAGTTACAACCTTGGGGATTTTTTGTGCTTATTCACATAGTTACCCAACTTATCAATTTGGTTTCATAACCACCTCTTAGAAGAGTAGCTTCCAGCCTTCTTCTAGTCGTCTTCAATAATGCACCCTCACTGAAAAAGTTTCTTGCTTTGTAAAATGTGTTTTCCATCACCCCAATACTCCCTCCCCCAGCGCCCCCCCCCACCAAATTAACAAAGAGAGAAGGGGGGGGGGGGGGAGGGGGGGGGGGGGGGGGGGGGAGG